TCTTAGGGTATCCTGGTGTAGCTGTAGAGAACTCATTCTTTAATGAACATGCTCTGGGGCTGGAGAAATGGCTCAGGGGTTAAGAACACACATTGGCTGCTCCTTCAGAGTACCTAGGTTTAATTTCCAGCATCCTCTTAGTAGCTCAGTTCCAGAGGATCTAATGTGGCCTCACCGGAAAATGCATGCAGGTTAACCACCCCTACATATAAAATAAAGATGAGTATGCACAGAGATCATCAGGAGTTTGACCCCTAGTGGTGCATACCTGTCTCACTCCCTAACTCCAAAAATAACCCTCAGTACCATGACTCTGAAACACTGCCTGTCTGTCTGTGGAGGAGCTCTTCCCCTCCCCTCAAATGCCTCTGTGCAGTTTATCTACTGTAGCCCTGACTGTCCTGGAACTTGCTCTTGAATTTAGAGATTGGCTTGCCTTAGGCATGTGTCACCATGCCTGGCTTCAGAATATTTAATAGAACCTACTTCTGCCTTTTTCTGTGTTGGTGAATTCTTTCACAGCCTGCTCATTGCCAGCTTGTCAAAACCATCTCTAGCAGGCAGCCTCAAGAGAGTTAAACACTGTCCTTGCAGTCTTGGAAAGAGTATCTCTTCACAAAGTATACTGCAAATGAGATTTTTACAACTATCGTAATCTTAGCTGGACCTGGTGCACACACCTATAGTCTTCTGTATGGGCTGCAGAGACTTGGTGACTCTTAGAAGAGGCCAACCCACTGTAACTTTGTGATTCAGGTGCCTTATTTTAGGCATAAAGGTAGAATTTTAAATTTCTTTATTTTTGCTTCTAGCAACATATTACCATCATTGCTTCCAAGTATTTTAAAATCCAAGTACAAAGTGGTTTTGTTCATAACACAGTGATATTGTTGCACTGAGAAAAATCACAGGTGGAAAAGTTCTTTCCAAGAGAATATTTCATAGTCTCACTTTGTATGTCAGTTGCTAAAGATAAAGACAAAGTTATCATTTCTAGCATGTGTTTCTTCTGGTAGGTACTACACTGCAGACACAATAAACTATTTCTCCATGAAAGCCATAGGAAGAGCCAATCCATTGTTTCCTGTTTAATGAAAGACTCATCTAAATTTAGATGTCACTTTGTGTTAATGTTTTCACATTAAAAGGTCAATATCAATATTAATAAGCTAATAAAAGTTACTACCATCCTTTGAGTACTTAATATGGGGCAATTTCTGTGCATTTGTTTCCTACTTTAAAATAATTCAATATAATAATAAAAGCTAACATTTAGAATTTATTTTCTACATGTAGGTATTTTCTCACACATCCCTACCCCCCCCCCATTGTTTCTATAGACCAGGTTGGCCTCAAACACAGAGATCTGCCTTTCTCTGCTTCCGGAGTCCTGGGACTAAAGGTATGTACCACCACACCTGGCAAATATATATTTTTCAAAATCTCAAAAGAAAGGTGCTGCTTTTGAGTGCACTATGGAGAGGTTCACATGACAAGGAATCATCCAGCAGCCAACCAAGAACTCAGTCCTCCCAGTGTCCATGTGAATGCATGAACACGGAAATTGATCTTTTCCCAGGTGAATCTTCAGATGAATGGAAATTTCACTCAATAGTGTCCTCCTAAGAAATCTTGAGCCAGACACCCTGAGGTAAACTGTCTGATGTACTAACCTATGAAAACTTGAGGCAATCTATGTTTGTTGTTTCAAGGTTCTAAATTGTGGGGTAATTGATAAGCAAAAACAATAGTAATCACTGTTATTTCAATATATCATATTTTTATGACCATGTATTTTATATGTGTGGTGTACTTCTGAAGTGAGTGCATACAATTTTATATAGCCTTGGCATCCTGTGTTTAACTTCCTCATAGCAGAAGCAGCACTCAATCACCCTTGACTTAGTCCCTAGTAGACTCCACCAGCTGGTGGCTAGAGATAAAAACTCTGAGGCACCTCTTGCAGCCCCCAGGATGGAGTCCCTGCTTTCCCACCACTTCTGTTTAAAGGGACTGTTCACCATTTGTCCAAGAACTCCAAGTGGCCATGCTTCAGTTACAGCATGATCTGGAACATATCTGCCTGCTTTGTTTTTGTTGCTGTTTTGTAAGCCTTGTGTAGCCCAAGCTGGCCTCAACTGTGCATTACCAAACCCAGATACCTATTTGCTTTAAACCACCAAATTGAAGCTCCTCCAGAGAAAACAATTGAATAGGACCCTAGACCCAGTGAAGATGTGCCCTAGGTCCCACTGCTTATTTTCTGAGTATTTTGTAGTTTTCTTTAATCCCAGGGACAAGGATTAACAAATGGGAGTACATCAGATTGAAAAGGTTCTGAAGAATGAAGGAAACAGTTGCCAGTGTGAAGAGACAGCCAACAGAATGGGAGGAAAATATATCAGCTATTATCAGACATGGGATTATGTCCAGAATGTATAGATAAAAAATCAAACATGAAAACAACAAATTATTCAACCAACAATTTGCGTATAAATAAAACATATCAAAAGAAGTATAAATGGCTAATAAATACATTTAAAAGTGCTCCGGATCTTTAGCCTGACCTGGGTCAGAATGGCTAATACATTGTTATCAAGGAAATAGGTAACAAAAGCCAGGCATGGTAATCACATCAATGTTTGGGAGGTCACCTGTTTGAGCTTTGGAGTAAGACCTTGTTTCAAACAGCTACGAGTGAAAAAGAAGAAAGAAGAAAATGCTAAACATTGGCAAGGACGGAAAAGACAGGGACCTTTATACACCATTAGGAGAAATGTAAATTATTGTAACCACTATGGAAATGAGTATATGAGTATGGAGGTTTGTAATGGCTTGAATGAGAATGGCCATCATAGGATCTTGTGTTTGAATATTCGATCCCTTAATTGGTGGGCTATTTTAGAAGGTCTAGGAGGTATGACCTTGTTAGAGGATGTGTGTCACTGGGGTGGGATTTGAGAGTTCAAAAGCCCATGCTCTCTCTCTCTCTCTCCTCTCTCTCTCTCTCTCTCTCTCTCTCTCTCTCTCTCTCTCTGTGTGTGTGTGTGTGTGTGTGTGTGTGTGTGTGTGTGTGTCCCTCTCTCCCTCCCTTCCTCTTTCTTGTGGATCAGGATATAAGCTCTCAGATACTTCTCTAGCTTCATGTCTGCCTGCCTGCTGCCATGGTCCTGCCATGATAGTCTTGACTAACTCTCTGAAACTTACAGCAAGACCCAAATTAAACATTTCCTTTTATGAGTTGCTTTGGGTGTGGTGTCTCTCCACAGCAATGTAGCAGTAATTAAGGATTCCTAACAAACAAACAAACCCTAAGAATAAACTACTGCAAGATCCACTTGTAGCATTCCTGGATATAAACCTAAAAGTATAAAAGACAGTATATAGTAGAGATACCTGAACTATTGGCACTGTGTTCACTGTGGCAGCATGCCCAATAGCCAAGCTATGTAATCAGCCTATGAAGTATTGAGTGAATAAAGTTATTAAAATACACACACATGAGAGAGAGAGAGAGAGAGAGAGAGAGAGAGAGAGAGTTCTGTCATGAAGAATGAAGTCATGTCATTTGTGGGGAAAATAGAAACTATCATGTGTCTTAGCTATTGTTCTATTGCTGTGAGGAGACACCATGACCACTGAAACTTTTATAAAGGAAAGCCTTTGACTGGGTCTCACTTACAGTTTAAAGGTTTAGTCCATTATCTTCATGGAGCATGGTGGCATGCAGGCGGACATGGCAGCTGAGAGTTCTACATCTGGGTCAGCAGGCAGTAGGAAGAGAGAGATACTGGGCCTGGCTTGAGCTTTTGAGACCCTAAAGCACACCCCCAGTGACACACTTTCTGCAACAAGGCCTCACTCACTCCAAGAAAGCCACTTCCTAATCCTGTCAAGTCAGAGCCACTCCTTAGTGGCTTAGTGGCTTAGTGGCTTAGTGACCAAGCATTCAAATCTGTGAGGTTATAGGGCCATTCCTATCAAACCACCATATCAAGTTAAGTAAAATAGGCCACACTCAGAAGAAAAAAAACCACTTCATTTTTTCCCCCTCATATGTAGATTCTAGATTCTTAAGGGCTGGAGACATGGCTCAACAGTTAAATGCACTGGCTGCCCTTCCAGAGGATCTGGCTTTAATTTCCATCACCCACATGGCAGCTCACCATCATCTGTTGCTCCAGTTCCTAAGGTGCTAATGACTTCTTGGGCCTCCATAGGCACTGCTTGCTCACGGTGCACAGATACATACAGGCAAAACACCCAGAGGCATAAAATATTATAGAAACCATGAAAAATGCACCTGTTGATGGCAGTGCACACCTTTAATTAAATCATTTGGGAGGAAGAGGCAGGTGGATCTTTGCGAGTTCGAGGCCAGCCTGAGCTTGAGAACGAGTTCCAAGAGAGCCAGAGCTACACAGAGAAACCCTGTCTTGAAAAACCAAAAGATAGAAAAAGAAAGAGGAGGGGGGAGGGAGGGAGAGAGGGAGAAGGGGGGAGAGAGGGAAAGCCTAAGAAATGTTATAGGAGGGAGGAGAGGTGTCAAAGGGGAGGGGCAGGGGAGTAAGTAATACATTATTAGAAAATATAGCAGCAAAACCCATCACTTTATAGATTAATTTAAAAAATGGTGAAATTGAGTTTTCTTCTTTCCAAATCCTTTCTTTTTACATCCCCCCCCTCTTTTTTGTTTTTGTTTTTTTTCTATAAGGAAAACTACTACATTGCTGTACTCTGGAGCTTCCAGCAGAGGGTGAATTTTAAGGCGGGAGACTTGGGGATGTACGTGTAGTTCTACTTTCGTAACAGAAAGCTGGTCCTGTGTGATTACCAGCCTTGCACAGGGTCCAAATCCAGAAGGCCTTTGACCCTCGAACACCCCAGACCAGCCTGGACACTGGGCGTAGCTATGCCTCGGGTTCCAGTCTCTGATTGGCTCTGAAAGGTCGACCCCTTGACCAATTAGACCCGGGGGCGTTGTCATAGGGGCGGGTCCTCGGTCTCAAGTGGTGCCTTCAGGGTCTCCCCCTTTGCCAGCGACCCTCGCTCTGGCCTTGGCTGCAGCTCGTGTTCTAGTCTTCCACAGCATCTTCGGGCCCAGACTGGACATGGCTTCTGCTACTATGGCAGCTGCAAGGCGAGGCCTCTGCCTGTCTGTCTCACTTCTCCGGCGTGGTTACCAGACGGAGAGGGGCGTCTACGGTTACCGGCCTAGGAAGGCCGAGAGCAGCGAGCCCCGAGGCGATCATGCACGCCTCTCAGGTTGGGGATGAGGTCGGACACTGTGGGTGGAGGGCAGGAAACTACTTGTGAGGCTTGTGGTAGGGTGCTCTTGAAAGTGTGTACTAGGCACCTGGGAGCTTCTGGCCTGTGAAAGAGGCCTGTGAAAGCTGAGGAGACAGTAGGAGGAGGGGGTGGGAGTTGTTAGTGTTGAAGTCACCCCTCTCTCTAGCTTCCACAATTGAGCATTGTTTCCATGTAGTCTCCTTATCTTTGGGTCCTAGTTGGGGACAGCTTTTCTTTTTCATTCCTCACCCATGAACAAGTGGGAATTTAGCTCTTTGAGGAGATGGGTCTGTGAAAGAAGACACGTTCTAAGATCTCCCAGCTCTTAACCGGATGATGTATTTCCAGGGACAACTTACATACAGATGCCATCTCTGTGCTACTTGCAGGAGGGCAGTTGGTACATGATCCTAGACAACAGTGGTACTTACCATTTGTCCCTTGGACCTAGCTAGCCTTTTACTTTAATTGCAATTTAAGACTGCTGAACTCGCAACCATATTGCTGGTGTGTTTTGACGTATTAGCCAAAGAGAATATCAGTGTTTGGAACTATGTTGTAGCCTCGTATCCAAGAATAATTTCAAGTATTTGGTTTATGCTACAAAGTTGTTATTCTTTGTTTGTCCTCATACAGTAGAAAAGTGCAGGTTATTAGAGAAAACTGTCCGCATCTTTTTAAAAAATTCTATTTACTTATTTGTGATATATCTTTCATGTTTATTTTATGCTTATACATGCAGTGTTTTAGCTGCATATATATATTATGTATACCATGTGCATGCCTAGTGTCACCAGAAGTCATTGGATTCCCTGGAACTGGATGTACAAATGATTGTGAGCCAGCATGTCGGTACTGGGAATCTTATCTCCCGTCCTTTGCAACTATGCTTTTAGCTACTCAGCCATTTATCCAGCCCCCCAGTTAGTTTCTTGTTTGTTTGAAATGGGTCTCATTATGTAACCTTGGCTGGCATGGAATTTGTGTAGACCAGCCTGGCCTCAAATTCAGAGATCTGCCTCCTAAGGGCAGGAATTAAAGGTGTATTCCATCCCCTCCCCCAGCTGGCATCTTTGGTCCTAATATTAATGTTGACATCCCCCTCTATTAGGATTGGTGCATGCCTTTAGTCCTATCACTGAAGAAGCAAAAGCAGCTCCGGTCTCTGAGTCCAATACTATCCTGTTCTACATACCAAGTTCCAGGCCAGCTGAGGCTACAGAGTGAGACCTTGTTTCTTTTTTTTTTAATTAATTAATTTTTTTATTTGATTATTTATTTATTTATTTTTGTTTTTCGAGACAGGGTTTCCTTGTGGCTTTGGAGGCTGTCCTGGAACTAGCTCTTGTAGACCAGGCTGGTCTCAAACTCACAGAGATCCACCTGCCTCTGCCTCACAAGTGCAGGGATTAAAGGCATGTGCCACCAATGCCTGACTGAGACCTTGTTTTATTAAAACAAAAACAAGCAAATAAATCCTCTTTATCTTTTAAGTGCCTGACCAGACCTTTGACTCTTCACACATTGGAACCTTATAATACTTTGCTCTTTATTTTGGGAACCATTGAAAATAAATCTCATCTCTTGCTTTTATGTAGCCCTGGCTGTAAACTGGACTCAAACTCAGAGATCCACCTGCCTCTGCCTGAGTGTTGGTATTAAAAGCATGGGTCACCACATCGGAAACTAGCTAAATTTTTTAGGCAAAGTTTTGATAACTAGATTGTTAATTCTGGCTTTGTAAGGTACATCGTAAATTCAGTGTGTAAAATTCTTTTCTGTGTTATTTGAACCTATAACCCTACCTACTGAGCTACTTCTTGCCTCCCCATAATTCATATCCATTATTCTTCAACTTACAAGTCTATTAACAGTGCTTAAAATTCCAGTTCCAGCCGGGTGTTGGTGGCGCATGCCTTTAATCCCAGCACTCGGGAGGCAGAGGCAGGCGGATCTCTGTGAGTTCGAGGCCAGCCTGGTCTCCAGAGCGAGTGCCAGGATAGGCTCCAAAGCTACACAGAGAAACCCTGTCTCGAAAAAAAAAAAAATTTCAGTTCCTAGCTCTGTATCTTTTCTCTTTACCCAGGTTCTAGTTCAGTGACCTTATGTAAGGTTCAGAAACATGACCCCCAGTTTTCTTTTTATAGTGTTGGAGATCAAAATGAGGGCCTTGTGCATGCTAGGCAAGTTCTGTACCACTGAGCTATAGGCTAAGAATTATGTGAGTGTGCGTATGTGTGTGTCCGTCCACCTTTGGCTAGTCATAAGAGATGTATGTTATATATGAAGAGACAAAACCTTCAAGGTTATGCTACTGGACACTCAGTTACTGTGATTGCCTTTGAGCTTTTCTTTCACATCCTACTGACCTAACGAATTAAGCTTGTCATGGAAAAACCTAGGCTAATGGTTACTATTTGGAAAACTGTATGAGAATCACTTTGGGGACTTCAGGCTGGTACAATTAGAAAAATATCTCCGGAGTTGATTTTTTTGTATAAGTTCTTCTCTCTTCCCTTATCACCAAATCACTTTCCACATCCTAGTAACAGAGAACTTGCCTTATTAGGAGATAATAACATCTGGAAGTTCAGTGTTGAATTATAACTTCATGGGTATGATCTCACGTGCACTAGGGCCACTGTGAGGAAAGAGAAAAGTCAATGATAGAAACCATTATTTGTGTCATAATTGTAGTATCTGGCTTAAGGAATTTTGTTGGGAAGGATAATAATGCTTTTTACTTTATTTTTAAAAAATACTTTGAGTAAACCTTAAAGGCTAATGGGGTAAATTTATCTATAACTTTTTATAGGTTATCATTAATCTTTTGGACTGCATGGGAAAAGGGGAAGAAGAGAGTTGCATTCATGACTTATATTCCCATGACATTGGCCATAACTTGGTCAATAGCTACCTTTGTCTGTCTGTAATGGAGACTAAGAAACACAGTTTTTACTTAGGGTGGCCATGCATCAGCTAAGAATTATCTAATTATCTTGAAGGAGGGGAAAGGCAGATGGCAGTGGCTACCAAAGTTCTACCCTGAATTTCTCTAAATTTTTCTTTCATACACACTGTTTTTCCTCTTAGCCTATGAATCTGACTCAGCATCATTATCTGGCATGTGTGCAGTCTACTACTTAACAGGGCTGGCCATAGCTCAGTCTAGCATTTTATGAACTCTATCACCCACTCTATATATGCACATTCAGTACTGTGGTGTGTTTGTTTTTCTGGCCAGAGTTAGGAATATTTTTGACAATATAGGTTTCTTTTAAAAAGTTGCAGTCATTGTTTCTGGTTATTCCATGTGCCCATTGCTTAGGTCAAAAGCTTATCTAGCCAGGAAAATGTACATACTTTTAACCCTACTACTCAGGAGGCAGAGGTGGCCAGAGTTCCAAAGCCAGACTGGTTTACATAACAAGTTAAGTTCTAGATCCCGATGAAAAGAGAAAACAAAAAAGAAAGAAAAATTCATTGAGAAAAGAGTTAAGCTTGAGAAGTCTGGTCTCTTATTATCTCTGTTCTGTAAATTTAATGGTATTTGACTTTAGATTCTGAATTACAGATTTTTGTATGAAGGTAACACTTTGTTTTTTGTTTTTTGAGACAGGGTTTCTCTGTGTAGCTTTGGAGCCTATCCTGGCACTCACTCTAGAGACTAGGCTGGCCTTGAACTCACAGAACACTTTCTTTTTTTTAAGATAGGGTCTCACTATGTAACCCTTTCTGACTTTGGATTTGCTCTATAGACCAGGCTGGCCTTGAACTCAGATCTGATTATCTCTGCTTCCTAGATAAAGGTATGTTCCACCTGGCTGTCTGGCTGTACTCTTTTTGTTCGTTTGTTTGTTTTGTTTTTGTTTTTTTCGAGACAAGGTTTCTCTAAGTCCATGTTTTGTTGTTGTTTTTTGCTCTGTCTGTTTGTATGTTGGGGGGTATGGTATGTGTATGTGTGTAATTTTGGGGGGAGTAAATTGAGCGGTTCATTTTTTATGTGTGTGTGTGTGTGTGTGTGTGTGTGTGTGTGTGTGTGTGTGTGTATGCAGAGCTGAACCAGCCCCTTGGACTTCATAAATGACAATATGCTGCATATAAAAGGCTGGTCATACTAGGTGGAGGATGTCTCCACTAAGATTCAAATGCTGTGTCTTCTTTCACCTCATTAGGACTTAGAAACTTGAACAATATAGACAATGTATTGTTTATACCTAAATCTCTGGTGTCTACCATAGTACTCTGTGCATAGCAGGAACTGAGGATTTGAGAGTTAAAACAAAAACAAAAAGCCCTTGCCACTACTAGGTGCTGTACCCTAAGAAGGCATGTGTCTACTGGACAGCCTCTCTGGAAACACCATTGCTGCTGTTATTTTATTATTTTGGCACTGGGACTCAAACTCAGGACCTATGACACTTGAGACTGGAGTTCTTGCCTCTGAGTCCTGCTCTTTTTTCCCCTTGTTACACTCTATGTTTTAGATGGTAAGATACAGAGTCCCTCTTGTTATCAGTGCTGAATTTCTTTCTTTTTTCTTTTTTTTTTTCCCCGAGACAGGGTTTCTCTGTGTAGCTTTGGAGCCTATCCTGGCACTCGCTCTGGAGACCAGGCTGGCCTCAAACTCAAAAAGCCCCCCCTGCCTCTGCCTCTGCCTCACAAATGCTGGGATTAAAGGCGTTTGCCACCATCTCCCGGCTCAGTGCTGAATTTCTCTCCATTTGTTTTTCAGATAGTTTTCACTTGACCTCATGCTTTCTTTCTTTCAAAGATTTATTTATTTATTTATTTATTTATTTATTTATTTATTTTTGGTTTTTCGAGACAGGGTTTCTCTGTGTAGCTTTGGAGCCTATCCTGGCACTCGCTCTGGAGACCAGGCTGGCCTCAAACTCATAGAGATCTGCCTGCCTCTGCCTCCCAAGTGCTGGGATTAAAGGCGTGCGCTACCAACGCCCCGCTCAAAGATTTATTTTTGTTTTATGTGTATAGGTGTTTTGTATGTGCTCCTATTTGTGTACCACATGTGCCTGGTGCCAGAAGAGGTCCCTGGGACTGAAGTTACAAAAGGTTGTGAGTCACTTTGTGGGTGCTAGGAATCAAGTCTGGGTCTTCTGGAAAAGCAGCCGGTGTTCTTTATCTCTAAGCCACCTCTCCAGACCCACTGTTTATCTTTGAGTAAGAGGTATAAGGTCAGGGCCCTCTGCTAGCACCAGGCACACATGTAGTGCACAGACATACATGAAAGCAAATCACCCATATACCTCAAGTAAAAATAAAGGTCAAAAAAGAAATCTATATGTATGTGTAATGTTCTTGTATATCCAATTTTTTAAAGCATGGTTTTGCTTTGTGATTCTGGTTGACGTGATAGTTGGTATTGTAGCCTAGACTGGCTTTGAACTCATGGTAGTCCTCCTACCTTAGATACCTGCATGCTGGGATTACAGGAATGTACCATAATGCTAGACTCATGCAGAGTGTGTGTGTGTGTGTGTGTGAGTGTGTGTGTGTGTGTGTGTGTGTGTGTGTGTGTGTGTGTGTGTGCTTGAGTCTTGCTTGTATAAACAGAACATTGAGTGTTAGGAGAAGATGCCTTTTTAAATATGGGCCAATACATTGTTTCTATGTTTTCTGCTATAAATATAATGTAGTAATTTTGTATTTGTCCATAAATTCTGGATAAGTATCTTTATACTTAGTTCTTTTAATTGGGAGTCTGGGAGCTGGAGTGATGGCTCAATGCTCAACAGCCTTGATGTTCTTTCAGAGAACTGGACTTAGGTTCCCAGCACCTGCTTTGTACAGTTCACAATCTTCTGTAACTCCACTTCCAGAGGATATGACACCCCTCTTCTCGCTTTTGCAGGCACTCGAGCACGTACACACACACACACACACACACACACACACAACTAAATTTTTTTAAATTAAAGAATGAGAATCAGATGAGGCTATGGGCATGTCTTTAGTATTTTTCATGTTTTTCAGTTGCTGTTAAAGTACAGTCTTAATCCAGAAGAATGATTTTCTATTATGCTTATGTATTTAATTGGGGGCATTTATAAAATAGAAGACAAACCTTTCTGGAAGTGGACATTTTGACACTTCATAAGTGACACAGTGGTCAAGCTGGTGACACATATCTGTAATTCATTCACAGGCTAAAATAAGAGGATAACAAATTCAAGGTCAGGCTAGACTATATAGCAGAATCCTGTCTCAAAGGAAAAGCACTAAGAGAGAACGAAGTGAAGGCTACTCAAGGCTGTGCAGCCTCACTCCCTTTCTTCACCCTTCATGTGTTTGTCTTGGTTACTGTCAGTTCCTGCCAAAGGTGCCTATATCATTAACTAAGCCTTCATTTGTACTGAGGATTTAAGGAAATACGAAATTTGCCTTTAGAAACCTCTTGGATTGAGATGATTGTTAGTGTTTTCAGCAGTTAAACTTCCACCCAGGTTGAGTGTTCTTTGTAGTTTACTCTTGGTAATAGCTTGTACTTTAGCCTCAGTAAATCGTAGTTGCCAAATAACTTTATTTATTTGTGTTTGGTATCAAACCTAGAATATTATGCCTCAGTTTTGGATTTATTTATTTAAATTTCCAATTTACATTGGAGGTGAGTTTAAGTATAGTAATTCTCACATATAAATTTTATCCTAAAGGATTTTAGATTTAAAAAAAAATTTTTTGACTTTTACTTTTGTTCTTGCATTTCTTTTTTTTTACATTTGTTTTTATTTAGAAACAGTCATTTTACATATCAATCCCCTAGCCCCCCCCCAACTCCCTTCCCTCTCCCTCCCATCCTCCCATACCCCCTACCAACCCACCCCCCACTGGCTCCCCAAGGATAGTGAGGCCGTCTATGGGGGATCATCAAAGTCTGTCACTTGGGGAAAGGCCTGGGCTCTCCTCCGAGTTTTTTGTTTTTTTGAGACAGGGTTTTCCATGTAGCTCTGGCTATTCTCCTGCCTTGAACTCACAGAGACCCACCTGCTTCTGCCTCTGAGTACTGGGATTAAAGGTGTGTGCCACCACACCCAGCAATAGCTGTTTTTAATGTTCAGTCTAACATCCAAAAACACCTGTACTAACCAGGAAAGAAAGGGGACCAGGTCTTTAGTGTCAGCGTGGAAATAGTGCTTCTCAGTGTTCTTTCCAATTATTTATCACATGTGCAGCTGTTATTACAAATATGTGCTCATGGTTCTAGCTCCTTTCCTGTTTTCTTTCATTTTGCTTCCATGGATTTTAGCTATCATGAAATAAATTTTAAAAAGTAAGGGTGGGAGTCGGAGTGATCACTCAGTGGTTAAGAGCACCGACTGCTCTTCAAGAGGACCCGGGTTCAATTCCCAGCACCCACATGGCAGCTCACAACTGTCTGATCTGACACTCTCACACAGACATACCTGCAGGCAAAACACCAACGCACACAAAATAAAATAAGTAAATAATTAAAAAAAGAAAGTAAGTGTGCTTAGCTAGCACCTGACAATCTTTAACCCTGATATCCACTGGCGAAGCGAGTAGGAACAGCGAGCTAAATATCCTTCTGTGACAAGTGTCTCTGTAGTTTCTGAGCATCTCCCCAATTGTACTATTTCATTCTTCCAATTTAGTTGATCATGGCCTTGCCAGGCTGGTGACAGTATATTGTGAGCATGGCCACAAAGCTGCCCAGATCAACCCTCTCTTCCCTGGACAAGCCCTGCTGGATACTGTTCCTGAAATCCAAGCCCTCGTACAGACACTGCAGGGACCCTTCACTACCACAGGTAAGGCGGCACATGGGCAAGAGAGGGGAACTATCTGTCAGATGAAGTGTCTTGTTCTGTTCTTCAAGAACTGGATGCCCTGAATTAGAAACTTCCATCTCGTGAAGGGACAAAGAAGGACACACTGAGTTGTCTTCACATAGGAGTGGTCTTGTTTCTCTGTGGTTAAAAGTATATAGAGCAGGTTGTTGACAAGGTGGTTCAATGGGTAAAGGTGCCTGCCATCAAGTGGGACACACATAGTAAAAGGAGAGTACCAGCGCCCAAAGTTTCCCTCTGACCTTCATATGTATGTGTGATGGAGTGCACATGGTATCCCCCATATATAAATAACAGTATTTTACAATCCAAACATGTAGGTGCTGCACACTTTGCATATAGATGCTGATTCATTTTCATAACTACTCCTAAAAGTCCTTATTACCATATTTAGTTTAGAGATGGTGTCTCAGTTACTTTGCTACAGCTGTGATAAAACACACCGACCAAGGAAGGCAGCTTACAGAAGGAAGGGCTTATTTGGGCTTATGGTTCCAGAGAGGTAAGAATCCATCACTATTACAGAGGGGAAGTGTGGCAACAGGCAGGCATGAAGCTAGAGCAGCAAGCCTCGAGCACACATTTAGGAGTGGTATGTGGCTTTTAAAATCTCAAAGCCCACTCCTAGTGACATACTTCCTCCAGTGTGGCCTCCTAAACTACCCCAATAGCACCACTATCTGGGGACCAAGTATTCAAATGTCTGAACCTATTGGGGACTTCTCATTCAAACTTCCACCGATGGAAACAGATTCAGAGGACTTAAGTAATATGTAGTTGCTACATGGCAGAGGTAGGGAAACATCTTACGTCTTCTTTCATTTCAAAGCCTAAACCCCCTCATTCCAATTTCTTTCCCAGCCTGGGAACTAAAACAACATCAAAACAAAACAAACAAAAAAATTAGACCACAAGTTATGGTTTTAGGGTTTTATATTATATTATTAGTATTATTGTAGTGCAAGGATGAGACCTGGGATCCTGTGCATGCCAGGCAAGAGCTCTACCACTGAGACATACTCCTACCCCAGGAGTTTCAAGTTTTAGTTTGAAATTACTATAGAGTCAAAACTTGGCATAATATGATAGAGCTGTGTTCTCAAGAAGGTCTTCTCCCCATCTAGTTTTTCTACCTTATGGCCATCAACCAGAGTTTTAACTTTGCCTTTAGAAAAGGTCTAGATGGGTCAGAGGCTATACCTCGGTGGCAGAGTACTTGCTTGTTATGTGAGAGATCCTGGGTATAATTTTTCACAATTTTAAAAGGGAATATTAATAATCATTGATAATGCTTCAGTTTGTAATGGGGTGCTCAGAATTGAAGCAACAACATTGTTCTGCAGCTTATTTTCTGTGTGGTTGATTATTCTTTGAAATGAGCCCTTTGTTCTATTTCACAGGCCTGTTGAACATGGGCAAAGAAGAGGCTTCTCTTGAGGAAGTATTAGCCTATTTGAACCATATCTACTGCGGGCCAATTTCTATTGAAACCACCCAGCTTCAGAGCCAGGAGGAGAAAGACTGGTTCGCCAGAAGGTTTGAGGAGCTGAAAAAGGAGACATTTACCACAGAAGAGCGAAAACAGCTGGCAAAACTATTGCTAGAATCTCAGGTATAAAAAGTACCAGCTAGGGAGAGATGACTGAGCGGTTAAAAGCACTAATGGTTCCTTCTAGAGGACCCAGGTTCAATTCCCAGTACCCATGTGGTGCCTCATAACTGTCTTTACCTCCAGCTCCAGGGCATCCAATGGCTTCTGAGGGCACCTGCACTCATATGCACATACATACATACAACTATAAATAACTAGAAATTATAAAAATAAATGTAGAAATTGCTGGGCGTTGGTGGCACACACCTTTAATCCCAGCACTCGGGAGGCAGAGGCAGGTGGATCTCCGTGAGTTTGAGCCTGGTCTACAAGAGCTAGTTCCAGGACAGCCTCCAAAGCCACAGAGAAACCCTGTCTCGAAAAACAACAACAAAAAAAATGTAGAAATAAGTATGAGCTAATATTAGTGGATCGAGTCTTTTCACTTTCTGTAAAGATAGCTAGCTACTAAAGAGAGGAAAGGGAGACATTAGACCTTGCCCCCTGTCCCTCCTCATTGCTTCAGCACAATAGGCTGAACAACACTTCACCCCACGCAGAAGCAAAGTGTATCAGTAAACATTTGAGCTGTTGGGTTTCCTCAGCATTGAAGTATGTTAATGTATTCATCTGCTTATTTTATAAAACTTAATAAAGTCCTTAGGATTGCATACCTCCTTTTGTGTCCTGAAGAGAATGACAAACTGCTCAGTAGACGTTCTCACAGTCAGTTAGTGGAACCAGGTCATCACCAGGGCTGTGTAAGAGCTCAAGCGTGTCAAACTGGTAAGAACCCGAGTCCCACCAGTTTGAGTATTTGGATCGTGTTAGAGCTTGGTTAAGTGATACTATAGAGCCTCTATGCAAACTAATATGTTGGGCAAGGCAGCAGATAGCTAAATCTGGCCTTAAGTCTGGAAATTAATACATAAGGAGGTTGTTCCCAGATATGTGATTCTACCACTCAGGTTCCTCTCTTTACAGCTCCTGTGTCAAGGGTCTTTAGCAGAGCTGTGTTATACCGTGATGTCTCTCTCCATGGATATGTAGTGAAGGGACACAGATATGACCACTGGAATACTGTGGGGTCTTCTTAAAACACACAGAACTTATCTGCCTTTCACATGAGCACTTGACTGTCTTCCAGCAGCTAATATGTTTGTTCCATAGGAGTTTGACCACTTTTTGGCCACCAAGTTTGCCACAGTGAAGAGATATGGAGGTGAAGGGGCTGAGAGCATGATGGGCTTTTTTCATGAGTTACTGAAATCGTCAGCCTATGGCGGTATAACTGATATCATTATTGGGATGCCCCATAGAGGAAGGCTGAACTTGTTGACAGGCCTCCTGCAGTTACCTCCAGAGGTAAGTTTTCTTTCGATATCTTTTTGTTGTTTTAATGTCCATGTCTTTTTTATAACAATTTTTTAGTTTTCTTTTAAATTATAATATAATCACATCATTTTCCCCCTTCCTTTTTTTCCCTCCATACTCTTTCATATACATCCTTGCTCTCTCTCAGATTCATGGTCTCTTTTTCTCTACACATACCCTACCCTACTTCATACACCCCTAAATAGGTAATATAACCTGCTCAGTCCATATAATGTTACATGTATGTATCTGATCTTAGGGCTAACCACTCAGTATTGGGTAACCAAATGGAGGCTCTTCCCTGAGGGAAGATCATTTCTTTCAGCATTTCCCAGTTGCTTGTCCCAGGTTGAGGTCCCAGGAGCTTCCCCCTTTCCATGTTAGCATGCCCGTTGCTGTTGTTCAGGTCTTGTTTAGGTGGCCATATTGGGGAGACTTCATGGATGTGGCTTTTCTGATGTCTCTAGGAGACTTTCTGTGGCTCTTGCCAGGGTAGGACCAGAGCAGACTAAAACTGATGGTGGTAATTTCCTTTAGAAACTAATGGAGCCTATGAGCAGTTGGTGGGGAGATAGCTTAGTGAATGGGTAGAACTTAATGCTGATAAGTAGACCCGATATTAATTTTTCTGTAATATTCTCATGGATTCTTTCTTCTCCTAGGGAAATTAAGGGTTAGTTTGCTTTAACATGCATGGTGGTCAAGGAATGATAAGCAAAGCTGTCCTCTGCCCTCCCTACCCCAACACACACACATACCATATAAAGGAAAAATAAAGTACCGGGTGGAGCACAGCCCAACATTGGCATTGACAATATTACTGCAAAGCTTAGGCCCCAGCTCCTGCAGAATTCGCCATGTCTCAGTTACTTTTCTGTTGCTGTGAAGAGACACCATGATCAGGGCAACATATACAGGAATTGGTGGCTTGCTTTCAGTTTCCACAACCATCATGGTAGGGAGTAGGGCAGCAGGCAGGCAGGTGGGCATGCATGATGCTGGAGCAGTAAACGAGAGCTTATATCTGATCCCCAAGCACAAGGCATCAAGAGAGCTAAGTGGGAACGGCTTAGCTTTTGAAACCTCGAAGTCCCCCGCCCCACACACACACAGTGACACACCTACTCCAACAAGGACACACCTCTTAATTCTTCCTAAACTATTCCACCAACTGGGAACCAAGCATTCAAATATGTGAGAGTATGGAGGCCACCCTTTTTAACCACCACAGACCAGCCATGTAAGCCAGAGGCAATGGCTTCAAGGATCCAGAAGGCAAGGGACTTCGTAGGAATATCCCATGTACTGCCTTCCACCATGTCCTGGGTCCTTACAGCTGCCCCCTCCTTTAGACTTAGGGGCAGGTTTGGACTTCTTAAAATAGCCTTTCACATATTAGATGCACTTGTTACTGTGAAATAAACTAGTATCCACTAATATCCAATTGCAATGATTTTTGCTGAGACTGGCATGATGAGCCTTGATGACTTGCCACCCAACAGGATTGGAGAGACAATGACTTACATGCCTGCTCCAGAAGCACTCTTCCACAACCTGTATGGTGAAGGTGCCCTGGGGCTTCCAGTCAGGTGATTACTTGAGCTAGCTTTACTGTCCCCTGCCCCTAGTACTGCATTCCCAAGATAATGGCTTTTGGACTAGAGCTGGTCTTTGGATAGCCTGAGTCACTACATTTTCATTCAGCACTTCTGTTGCCATAGTAGCTCGAGTGTTGGTCCTATTCATGTGATACTATCACTCATGTATGGAGAGTAGCCCCAGTACCATGCCTTGTTCAACTCTGTCTTGCAGAACATAGATACCAAAGGACTGCATAGTGGTGCTATGTACTTCCAGTGTTTAGAGTGCATGGGATGTACCACAAAAGCCTCAACTTAAGGTTCTCAGTCACAACAAGTACACTGTACTCAAGATCTTCTCAAGGGAGGCATCTGAATCTGGGAACAGGGCCCTCCATTCAGAAGTCTGGGATCGTCTTTCTCTCTGACCTCTGGACCATGCCTTTTTTCTCGTAAGGATGCCCAGAATCCCAGTGTAGAGCTGGCAGGGTGGAATTTTAGACTTGTATAATATTCTCATAAGCATTTTCTCAACCTGAAGCCTTACACATGTTGGAAAGTACACGGCACTCTCCATAGGGAATGCTTCACCTTTAACTTTGTCATCCAGGGTGTTTGCATCCCTAGGAATTATTTATTGGAAGTACCATGGATGAACCACTGTATTGACAACAGTATTTTGAGAAATTCACCTCTCTGTGCTGAGCCCCAAGGCTGTGATCACAGAGCACTGTGGATCCACCAACATCCATGATGCTCCCTAGGTCTCAAGACTCTCAGTGTATATGAGCTGATAGGGTGGGTGAATTGGTATTGAGCAGAAGGCAGCTGCTTGGCTTTTGACTTCTCCTTCCTTGTGTGGTTTGTGCCATGAACATTCAACCAAGGATAATTGGGTTTTCATGGGATCTGTGGTGTCCCAACACCACAGCCATCAAGAAGGCCCTCAATGTCATCTTTGGCCCAGGATGATGATAACATTTTCAATGTTGGAGCCTGCAAAAGGGGCCCAGGTGGACTGTAGGACAGTCCTGTCATGACAGGGACCCCTTTCCTTCTATTACTATGAAGGAAAACTGTAGCACAAAAAAATAAAAGTTCCAGAGACTGATGTTGGTGTTCAAGCTTCAAGCTGAAGATCAGAAAAGCAAAGCAGCTTGCCACTAGCTCTTACACTAGTTCAGAATGAAAGGCAATCCTGGCTCCATTAAACCTCAGAGTGTAACTTCTTAGTATGGCTGGATAATCCTGAGACTTCAATGCCTCCTATCCTCAATGTGGCTAGAGAATGAATACCTGATACTGACAACTGAAGACCCTGCTCCTATCTTTTATACACCTTTGTACTGGGATTAAAGGTTTGTGATCCCAGGTGCTGAGATCATATTTGTGTGAGCTGTTTCTCTTTAGGACTGGATCAGTCTTGTGTAGATCTGTGTGGCCTTGGACTCACAGAGATTCATCTGCCTCTTAATTCTGAGTCCTAGGATTAAAGGTGTGTATCACCACCTCCTAGATTCTGGCTGCTGGGGTTAAAGGTGTGTATCACCACTGCCTGATCTATATAGCTTGTGGCTGACTTTGCTTTTTGAATCCTCAGGCAAGCTTTAATAAATCATGAATAATATATCACCACAGAAAACATTTAATGTATACTTCCTTGATTTATTTTTCCTTTCAGTTATGTGTGAAGATTCTTTTCTAGCCTGCAGTGAGTTCCTTTGGCAGTGGTCAAACTTCATATTCTTCTCAGTCCATGATATGGACCTGTTTTATTTTGTTGTTGTTTGTTTGTTTTAATTTTCCAGGGCTAGTGACATCCAGGGAACCTTTCTGTCTTAGAGCAGGGATAGCCTGTAGCCCTCACTTCCAGCTGGCTTTATGAGAGGCCTAGACAACCTGTCACCATCACTCTTAACTAAGACCTGTCTGGGCTATGGTAGCAGGGATACTTGACTAGAGGGATTAGGAATTTCCTATACAGCTGAGGGTGTCTGGAGATCTGAGTAAGGGCTTCTGGGTCAGCCACAGAATGGGGATCTGCTTACCTCACTGTCTACTGAAACCCTGATACCTGAGCAGGCCTGAGAATACTCCATGTTCTCCATTGCTAGGCTTTGAGTCTACTGGGGTGTCTGGTGGAAATCACCTTCCAGCCACATTTCAGGGAAATGTTTTTCTGGCAGAAGGGTCCCATATCTGACTAGAGTGCCCATCGTGCTTTGGGTTTGTGTTTCCTGTGAGTTTTTTTTTTTAATCTATCTGTACATAACTGTTCAAATGCTAAGTTCAGAGCCAATGGAAGGGTCAATTGTGTGTCTGTCATTGTGCAGGTGACCCAAACCAGTGTGTGTGTGTGTGTGTGTGTGTGTGTGTGACAGAGAGAGAGAGAGAGAGAGAGAGAGAGAGAGAGAGAGAGAGAGATATCTTTGGTCTCATAAAGACACACTATTAGCGTTTCGAAGGGAAGGTCCCAAGTTTGCTTGATGTGTGAGTGTCACATCCCCACCATCCTCAACATGCCTTTGGCAATAGTGTCACATGGACAGTGTCTAGAGTAGAATGAAGTGGGCAGTTCATCTTATTTGCAGGACCCATGTTAATGTTCAGATGCAAATAAGCAGAATCTAGTGGGAAAAGCTATGAGGTCCATGCACATTTGAGTGAGATGTGGCCCCCTGGCTTTCTCAGATGAGAAGGGAGGAGCAGGAAGAAACATAAGGCTCTCTGCACTCATCATCTCAGTGGAAATCCCAGAGAGGCATGATTCCCACACATCCTAAGCACCCTGCACATTCCTTCCAGGGACCTGCCTCTGGCACTTGGGTTACATGGTTGGAGAACAGAAGATAAGTAAAGGAATTTGCTGAAAACCAAGAAAAAAGAAGAAAAGAACCTTGGAAAAAGTAGAGCATGGGATTGGGAGATGACTCCACTCCAAGTTCTTGCTTACAAGCATAAGGACCTTAGTTTGATATCCAGAAGCCACATGAAAAAACAAAAACAAAAACAAAAGCAAACCCCAAACAGCATTTCAAAAATAGTCAATGAAATCAAAATTTACTACTTCAGAATCAATAACTTCTTGGTGAAAGACCCCCAGACCCCTAAGGGCCTCAGGATCCCGAGGAGCCCCCGAGACTCAGAAACCAGACCAAGAGCTGCAAAAGCAAGAGGGTTTATTGAATGAATGTGCATTCAGGTGTCAGCAATATTGGGGAAGCTGCACACCCCAGCATGGGGTGTAAGCTCCTTATATAGGAAAAAACCACAGATCAGCATATAGGCAAGGGGCACAAAGTGATTGATTACAAAGTATGATCTCATGTTAGAGTGGTCACCCAGGTGTGACATGCTTTTCTACAAACGAAAAACCACAGAACATACCCTGAAAAAAGTCCTTGATTGTCTGTTGGCCAGCCAGGTGTGACCCAAAAGGATTGTTTGTCTGCCCTCGGGTTGGGGCCAACTTCCTTGTCCTGGGCCAAGGCCTGTGGAAAATTTTTTCTCTCTGTGAACTAAAATCTTTCAAAATTTTTTCTCTCAGCAAACTAAAATCTTTCATTGGAAGCCATAGTAACGCTTTAATATGGTTAAGACTGGAGAAATTTCAAAGTAGAAATCTGGTTTGGTAGAAAGCTAATTAAAATTTCCACCTTCCTCAAACAGAATTACAAAAAGACTAAATTGTGCTTACAATTTACGGAGATATGGTGACGGGAATCACTGCTAATGATTACATATTTTAAGTGACATAAGGCAGAGGTAACTACTATTTGCTTTGCATTGGATTCCTCTTAAAATAGTGCCACTAGGAGCCAGGTGTTGATGGCTCACACATTTAATCCCAGCACTTGGGAGGCAGAGGCAGGTGGATCTCTGTGAGTTCAAGACCAGCCTGGTCTACAAGAGATAGTTCCAGGATAGCCTCCAAAGTCAGAGAAATCCCGTCTCGAACTTCCCCCCCACCAAAAAAAAAAAAAAAATAGTGCTACTAGGGTCTGGAGAAATGTATAGGTAGTGGTTATAAATCCATGACTATCTTTGAATAATGTATGCTTGTAATAACTATAAAAGAATTTATATAATGCTTATCTTTCTTTAAGCTCATCTTAGACTCCACTGTAATAAGACTTACTTTATATCTTATGTTTCTTCTAATAGCTGATGTTCCGTAAAATGCGAGGCTTAAGTGAATTTCCAGAGAATGTCTCAGCCACTGGAGATGTCCTGTCTCATCTGACCTCCTCAGTGGACCTAGACTTTGGTGCTCACCATCCCCTCCATGTGACAATGTTACCTAATCCCTCACATTTGGAAGCTGTTAACCCTGTGGCTGTAGGGAAAACTCGTGGCAGGCAGCAGTCTCGGGAAGATGGTGACTACTCACTACACAGTTCTGCTCAGCCTGGGGACAAAGTCATTTGCCTCCAGGTATGTGAGTTTGAGAAAGGGAGAAAAAAAAAAAAAACTGGAGATAACATTGTCTGTGTTGGTGGATAATGACAGGAGATTGCAGATATTCAAGTGGAAAGTGAAGTGAAGTGACATTTTGAGAAAAGAGGATTCTGGAGCTTAAATTTTCATCTTAAAATTTCCATGATATTCCGGGCGTTGGTGGCGCACGCCTTTAATCCCAGCACTGGAGAGGCAGAGGCAGGCAGATCTCTGTGAGTTCGAGGCCAGCCTGGTCTCCAGAGCGAGTGCCAGGATAGGCTCCAAAGCTACACAGAGAAACCCTGTCTCGAAAAACAAAACAAAACAAAACAAAATTCCATGATATGTTTATTATTTGCAGCAGGTTTAGAAACTTGTCTACCAAGTTTCATGGTGATATTCTGATCTTTCAGCTTTGAATATCCTAAAAAGATTAGCACATTTTGGACATCCTTTCATAATAATATTTTGATTTTCAAAATAGTACTTTTCTACTTATATGTGATTGTCTGTCTTCCTGCACCCTGGCTTTAATGCATGCCATCACTTTATTCTCTTATATTCAGGATAGTGGGCAGGATTCAGTGTTGGGAGCTACTTCTCTTTGTCTCTTTCTCGGGGTGAGTGCCTGGGGAGAGGAAGAGCACAGAGATGTTCACTGTTCCTCATAGAATTGTATGTGTGTGTGTGTGAGATGTGTGTGGGAGTATGCATGCCACAATATGCATGTGGAGGTCAGAGAACAATATTGTGGAGTCAGTTCTGTCTTGCTATCTGTATCTGAGTTCCAGAGATCCAACTCAGGTCCTCAGGTTTGCGAGGTAAGCACTTTTACCCTCTGTGTCATCTCCTGGTCCTGTTTCTCATATCTTAAGGCTATTTTCATGCAAAATTTCCTAGAGCTGAAGCTGACCCTGTTGCTCAGTGGTAGAGTGCTTGCCTAGAAGGCATGGGACCCTGGGTTCAATCCCTAGCAGAGAAAACAAATCCTAGAGTGATGCTTTTATTGCATATATAGTAGCCATTCTGCCCATGCTAGAATAGGTGCTGCTATAGATGCTAGAATGTTTGTGGAAGTGAGGAATCGGATGTAAGAGGTGGGATGGGTGAGGTGATACAGTGTTAACAGAGAAATGATAAGGCATCTTTGAAAAGTGCTTTGAGATGAGTTTAAACACAATAAGAAATCCTGAAACCTGTATCAGGAGAGTCATGAGAATGTGGTTGTTGGTATCCTATTAATATTTTAAAACAGTTTGTTTCTATCAAGAAATCTAACTTTATTAATTCCTTATTTCCTCCATCTCACATGTGTTTTAGGTTCATGGTGATGCTTCCTTCTGTGGTCAAGGGATTGTTCTTGAAACATTCACACTCTCTAATCTCCCACATTTCAGAATTGGTGGGAGTATCCATCTAATAGTCAATAACCAGCTGGGTTACACCACTCCAGCAGAAAGAGGAAGGTCTTCCTTATACAGCAGTGATATTGGTATGTAGCACACTAGAATTGACATTGCTATGTCAGCCAGACCAGGAATTTGCAGAGAAACTTCTAGTTCATTCAGAACAATGAGTCTTGCTGGTTATCCCATTTTAATTTTAATTATTTTTGAGGTAGGGTTTCTCTGTATAACATCCTTGACCATCCTGCAACTCACTCTGTAGACCAGGCTGGCCTTGAACTCACAAAGATCTGCTTGCCTCTGCCTCCTGACCAAGGTAACTTATAAAAAGAAAGCATGTAACTGAGGGTTTGCTAACAGTTTCAGATGGTGAGTCCATGGCCAGACTTGTGGGACTCATGACAGGAGGCAGGTGGAGTAGTAGCTGAGAGCTTACATCTGACCAACAAGCATGTGTGAGAGAGTGAGAGACTGGGCCTGGCATGGGCTTTTGAAACCTAGAAGCCCATGGGGACTTTTCTTAAGTGCTGGAATTAAAGATGTGTGCCACCTCTACCAGCCATTTTAATTGTTTGAATCTAGATATGGTCAGTAGTTGCCAAAAATTACCAAGGTAACATCCATATTTTTAGTTTGAGTATGCTATTTGTTAATTTTATATGATGATAGTTGAACACAAGGCATCATGAATGGTATGCATTCGAGTGTTATGCATATTAGACAAGGACCCATCCACAGAGCTACACTTCAGCCTCAACTATGAGCTTTTAAATCAAAGGAAACTAGACAAGGATGGAGCCGAGAGTGTTTAATAGCATATTGCTTACATAGTCAATTGGTTTATCTGGTAGAAACCAAAGAGCAGTGTGGTTGGTGCATTAATAGAGTAATTACTTTTAGACTATTCAAATTTAGAGTGCTCAGAGTCTCAGTAAAAAAAGGCTGTGTTCTCTCAGTAAATTTGCAAAATGGTTTAGTTGGAAATAGACCAGGTGGTGGTTGCCTATGCTTTTAATCCCAGCACTCGGGAGGCAGAGGCAGTTGGATTTCTGTGAGTTCGAGGCCAGCCTGGTCTACGGAGTGAGTTCCAGGACAGACAGGGCTCCTCCATCACTTCATTTGTACTCCAGGAGCTCGGCCCAATGGTTAGCTCTGGATTTCTGCATCTGCTTTCATCTGTTTCTGGAAGAGATTTCTAGCTTCTCAGGGGTTGTAGATTGTAGGCTGGCTACAAAGCAGGGCTTTTATAGTTCACAAAATTATTCAGGCACTGTCAGTCACTTCTATAACTAGAGTCTGGACCCTTTAAATTGTCTGACACAGGAAGGATACTTTCCAGAACTCTCTTGGGAGAAAAATCTTTTTCTAGGATTCATTCTTTAATGACTATTTGTCTCAGGAAGAAAGATAATCGTAGTAATAACAATAACAAAATAAATGTTAACTGTCACTATATAAGATACCATGACACATTGACACTATATTCCTTAGTTCAGGAAATCTTGACCATGTCACTCAGAGCCCAGACTCATTTATTAATTTATTTTTGAATTTTATCTTATTTTTATTTTATTTTATGTGTATGAGTGTTTTGCCTACACGTATGTTTCTGCACCATGCATGCAGTAGCTGTGGAGACCAAAAAAGTGTTGGGTCCCACTGTGACTGGCATTACAGACAGTTGTCAGCTACCGTGTGGGTGCTGGAACTCAAATCCAGGTCCTCAGGAAGAGCAGTCAGTGCTCTTAACCTTGCTCTCTAGCTTTTTAGACTGAGGTTTCTATGTCTTCCAATGTCTCACAGTCAGTCATAGAACTAACTGAGTCTATTCATCTAGACTACAGAGCTTGCATTCTTAAAACACAGGCTAAACTACCTCTGCATTGCAGGGCTGTCTTTTCACTTAGGCAAGTAGGTGTTGAGAAATGGGTAATATTAGCCCATGTTAACTGGCCCTTTTTATCTTGGTCTTACCTTCTTTAGGAAAGCTAGTAGGCTGTGCCATCATCCACGTCAATGGAGACAGTCCAGAGGAAGTGGTCCGGGCCACACGACTTGCTTTTGAATATCAGCGCCAGTTCCGAAAGGATGTAATTGTTGATTTGTTATGCTATAGGCAGTGGGGTCATAATGAACTGGATGAACCTTTCTTCACCAACCCAGTGATGTACAAAATCATCAGGTACCATCAGAAATTTCCCTTTAATATATAGGCTAACCTCCTCCTCAATTAATCATTCATTTTTGTGGTGATGGAGGTGTGTGTGTGTGTGTGTGTGTGTGTGTGTGTGTGTGTGTATGTGCGTGAGCGTGTGCATGCATGCATGCATGCAGAGGTCAGAGGACAACTTGTGGTAGTTGGTTCTTTCCATGCTGGTCCTTTGGAACAAACCCAGGTGCCCATAGCAGCTGAACTATCTTGTCAGCCTGCATCCCCATTGTTGTCTTTTTAATTTTTTTTCACATTCCTGTTTGGTCTTCCTTCCTTCCTTCCTTCCTTCCTTCCTTCCTTCCTTCCTTCCTTCCTTCCTTCCTTCCTTCCTTTCTTTTTTCTTTTCTTTTTTTTTGTTTTTTGAGACAGGGCTTTTCAGTGTATCCTTGGCTGTCCTGGGACTTTCTCTGTAGACCAGGCTGGCCTTGAACTCACAGAGATCCTCTTGCCTCTGCCTCCCAAGCGCTGAGATTGAAGGAGTGTGCAACCACAGCCTGGCTCCATTATCTTCTGATAGAAACTTTGAAGTGGGATGAACAGTTAAACTGCCTGTCCTGCGGAAATCAGAGTGGTCGTCTTACAAGGCTAGGGGTACACATATTCTTCATACTTCTTGTCTCCTCATTAAGTAGAAAGTGGGCAACTTCACTTACTTAGCAGATTGCAAGACTAGGGAAGAAGACTGGGTAGAACCTTGCTTGAGGCTAGTTAGTATGACTAGTTAGTATTATGATTCATTTCTTTAAACTGTATCCGAGGACCTTCTTCTCCCTTGTCAGGAAATGGCTTAGATATTGTTTTTTAACTTATCTGTAGGTAGGTTGGGGAGAGAAATAGAGTTATCTTGAAGAATGCCACTTACCTCCTATGACACAGGACTCTTTAGTGGTCTAGAGTTTACCAATTAGGTTAGACTAACTAGCCTCCCCAGCCATTGTATTTTATTTTAATTTATGTGTGCTTATCCATGTGAATATGTATACACATATATGTGAGCAGGTTCCCACAGAGGCTAAAAGAGGGTGTCTTGTCCCTTAAAGCTGGAGTTACAGGCATTTGTGAGCCACCTGACATGGATGCTGAGATCTGAACTCTAAATTGTTGAAGTGTGTCTCCAGCCTCCTGCAGTAGTTTGAAAAGAATAATTCTGTAATATTTAATATATTATGTTGTTTTACAGCTACTGTCTCTATATCTAGTTCCAGAACATTTCTTTTTTGTTTGTTTGGGTTTCTTTTTGTTTTATTTTTATTTATTTATTTATTTATTTATTTATTTATTTATTTTGTGTGTCTTGGTTTTTGTTTCTCGGTGAAACAGTCCTAGCTATCCTGGAACTTGCTCTTACAGACCAGGCTGGCCTCGACTCACAGAGATTCACCTGCCTCTGCCTCTTGAGTGCTGGGATTAAAGGTGTGCACCACCAATCCCGCTAATGATTATCTTTTATAATTGTATGTATTTGATTGACCCTGTCTTTCTTTCCAACAGAGCCCGAAAGAGCATCCCTGACACATATGCAGAGCACCTCATTGCCAGTGGACTCATGACCCAGGAGGAGGTTTCTGACATAAAAAGCTCCTACTACACCAAGTTAAACGACCACTTAACCAATGTGGCCCACTACAGCCCTCCTGCCACTAACCTGCAGGCCCACTGGCAGGGCCTGGTACAGCCAGAAGCACACATCACCACCTGGGACACAGGTGTGCCTCTAGAGCTCCTTCGCTTTATTGGTGTGAAGTCTGTGGAGGTTCCAGAGGAACTACAGTTGCATAACCATCTTCTCAAGATGTATGTTCAGGTGGGATGCCTTGACATCACCTTTCACCACTTTTTATTAAACTGTGTTGTTCTGATGCTTTTGGTTGCTAATTTGAGAAATATTTGTTGTTTGTTATTGTGTTGTAGCAACTGATCCTCATGTTGTTTTAATGCTATGATTTAGTAGATTCAGATTTTCTTTTTTTTTAAGATTTTATTTATTATGTATACAACATTCTGCTTCCATGTATATCTGCACACCAGAAGAGGGCCCCAGATCTCATTATAGATGGTTGTGAGCCACCATGTGGTTGCTGGGAATTGAACTCAGGACCTCTGGAAAAGCAGTCAGTGAGTGCTCTTAATGTCTGAGCCATCTCTCCAGCCCCAGATTTTCTTCACTTCTGTTTTCCTCTAAGGCAATTTTATGTGTGCTGAGCATATTATATATATAAGAAATGCATGCTCATTTTTAAAAAATACAGAAATACATCTCATTTTTCTAAGTAGGGGATAGAAAACACTATAATTCTTTCAGGTAGCTTAAATAAAATAATAAATATCAACACATGTACCCCAAAGGTGACCATTTATGCCCATAAGCATTTTAAGGTTTTATATACTGTCTTATGTCAAACATCCTGGTTTGCCTACAGTGGATGTTTTAGAGTGTGGGACTTTCTGTTGTTAAAACTAAGAAAACATGGCTGGAGAGATGGCTCAGAGGTTAAGAGAACTGGCTGCTCTTCCAGAGGTCCTGAGGTCAATTCCCAGCAACCACATGGTGGCTCACAACCATCTATAATGAGATCTGGTGCCCTCTTTTGGCGTCCAGACAGAACACTGTATATATAATAAATAAATAAATCTTAGAAAAAAAAACATAGGAAAACAAAGAGTTAAAGGTCTTTAACTTCCTTAAGCATGGATGTAGGAACTGTGCCTACTGAATTATTTTAAAATACTACCTTTGTTTTTAAGTTTTTATTTTAGCAGAACACTTTAAATTTTTTTAAATTTTTATTTCATGTGCATCAGTGTTTTGCCTACATGTATGTCTGTGAGGGTGTCAGATGCTCTGGAACTGGGGTTACAGACAGTTGTGAGCTGTTATGTTGGTGCTGGGAATAGAACCAGATCCTCTGGAAGAGTAGCTCGTGCTCTTCACCACTGAGCCATCTCTTCTGCCCTATTTTAGCAGAACTCTTACAAACAAAATGCACTCACCATCTGGATTAAATAGAAAATTTGGGGCTGGAGAGATGGTCTAGCAGTTAAGAGCACTGGCTGCTCCTTCCTAAGATCTGGAATGTAAGCAAAACACTCATACATGAAAAATAAAATAAAAATAAATAAATCTTTAAAAAAGAAATACAAAATTGCAAGTTAAGTTTCCTCTCTGCTTCTGTCTCCCCAAACCTCAGCAGAAGTGACCACTACCTGATGCATGCTTATTTTGCCAGTTTTAAAACTGTATGTAACACATGGAGTATTTGCCTGCCAGATCTAAAGCCCTGGGTTCAGACCCCAATGCTGGAGAAAAAAAGACAAAGAAAAGAAAAAGATGGAAATGGTTCTTTTTAAAAATTATTCTTAAAAATAGTTTTATTCATATTATTTTATGTGTGTGAGTGCTTTGCCTGCATATAAGCATATGTACCACTTTCAAGCATGGTGCCTGTGGAGGTCACATGAGATATCAGATACTTCAGGCCTGCAATTATAGATGTTTGTGTATCACCATGTGCATGCTGGGAATTGAACCTGGGTCCTTTGCAAAAGCGAGAAGTATTCTTAACAGCTGAGCTATCTCTCCAGCCCTCAGGATACGGATTCTTAAAGGTTTGTTTTATTCTCTTCTTTTCCTTTTTTTTCAGTCAAGAATGGAGAAGGTGAAGAGTGGAACAGATTTAGACTGGGCTACAGCAGAAACCCTTGCCTTGGGCTCCTTACTTGCTCAAGGTAAGACATTGCTGTTTAGCCGCACAGCTGGTAGGAATGCTCTGAGCTATACTTACGTGTGATCTTCTGAGTGTCAATGGCCACTTGTCACTTTCATTGATTAGAGGGTTTCTAAAATATCTTACCTGACAATAGTCCTTAGTTAGAAGGCATGTTGAACACTTCCATAGATGTACTGCAAAGATGTTTCTCTAAAAATTGTAGGGCCAGAAATGACTCTCCATTCTTAGAATTTTTACATTGACTATTCACCTTCAGAAATAGGAAAGATATGTACATACACACATATAAAAATTTACTACTTTTAATTATGTGTATTTGTTTGTCCATATATAGGTATGTGCACATACTAGTGCCCAAGGAGGTCAGAGTCTTCAGATCCCTCTGTAGCTGGAGTTACAGGCAGTTGCAAGCAGCTTCATATGGGTGCTGGGAACTGAACTCAGAAAAGCAGCAAGTGGTCTTAACCAGTGAGCCATCTCTCCAGCATCAGGAAAGATATATTTTAGAAGGGAGAATCTATTGTCCTAAGGAAAATTCATATCCTAAGGAATGAGCCAGTGTATGATATCAGATAACTGTGTGACAGTACTTACCTATAGCCAAGCTCCACAGGAGACAGAGCCTGGGAGTTCAAAACCAGTGGTGACAGCATTGGGAGATTTTGTCTTAAAACAAAAAGGACAGCCGGGCATTGGTGGCACATGCCTTTAATCCCAGCACTCGGGAGGCAGAGGCAGGCGGATTTCTGTGAGTTCGAGGCCAGCCTGGTCTCCAGAGCGAGTGCCAGGATAGGCTCCAAAGCTACCCAGAGAAACCCCGTCTCGAAAAAAAAACAAAAAAAAAAAAAAAAAAAGAAAAAAAAGAAAAGAAAAAGAAAACAAAACAAAAAAACAAAAAACAAAAAAGGACTCCAGGACTATCATGTCTAATTTTTGTGCTTGTTATTCATGGCTGATTGGGAATGTCCTTCTGTGTATGTTTCTCCTATTGGTTGTTGAATAAAGTACTGTTGGCCAATGAAGAAGCAAGTTAGGTGGGACTAGGAGTAAAGGAGGATTCTGGATTCTGGGAAATATAGTAGAGATCCAGGCAGGAAGTGACATAGCTGGAGACTCAGAATATAAGCAGGGTGCTTCCTCTTGCTCTTCCTCGTCCTCTCTGTTGAGTCACCATGTAACCACTAGGAAGATAGGACACAAGGCCTGCGTCCTCCATAAGTCTTATGATTATGGTTGATAATTAAGACTGAGCTAGCATATAAGAAATCCTAGTCAATTGGCCAGCAGCATTGTAAACCAATATAAGACTCTGTGTTATTCTGGGTGCCCACGTGGTGGCAGGGCTCAGGTGGGTGGAGTAAAGACTTATTGTAACACATGGCAGTCTTTTTTCTTCCCCCACTTGCTCGCTTCAGGTTTCAATGTTCGTCTGAGTGGCCAAGATGTTGGCCGTGGAACTTTTAGCCAAAGGCATGCAATGGTGGTTTGCCAGAACACAGACAATGCCTACATTCCTCTGAACCATATGGACCCTAATCAGAAGGGGTTTCTGGAGGTAAGCCATTTATATATAAAATTTACGTATTGATGTGTTAACTGTTACAGTTATAACATTTGATTTGATTTTGAGACAGTCTTAGCCCAGGTTGCCCTCAAATTCCCCAGTAGCTGAAAATGACCTTGAATTCCTCTTGATCCTTCTGACTCTGCTTCAGGTGCTGGGGGTTATAGGCCTGCACCATCACACCCAGAAATTAGAGGGTTCTTCAGGCAACTAAATTCAGATGTCAGAAACTTTATGTTCAATACTTCTTTTTAAAATAAAGGAATGCTGAGTGGGAGGCAGTGGAGGTCTGTAAATTTGGAATGAAAGAAACAAATGAGAGCCATGTTGGAGCCGGCACTTGAAGACTAGAGGAATCACCCTGGCCACCTGTCTGTAATTATGTCAGGTTAAAACCAACATTGCAGGCTGTAAAACTGTTGTGATTTATTAAACTTAATCGAAGTTGTGGATAGTAAGCCAGCATTTCTAGCAGAAACAGAAACACTTCCTCCAGGTTATCTTGCTCCCTAAAGTTTAACGGATGTTTCTTTGGATTTCTCTGTGTAGCCGAGTTCCTGGAACTCACTCTATAGACCAGGCTAGCTTCAAACTCACAGAGATTGACCTGCTTCTGCCTCCTGAGTGCTGGGATTAAAGGCATGAGCCGCCACCACCACCCCATCCAGTTTTTAAAATCTGAAGAGTAGGGTTTTTCATTTTTGTTTCTTCAACAATTACTTTAGTGAAAAGCACATGATATTTATGAAAATAAATTATTCCCTTAAGGTGAACTTAATAATTTGTTGCTTTCTTTCCTATTCCAGTTGCTGGTTTGAGAATATAACCTGTGTGTATGGTGGAGCTGGGAGATAGCTCAGTCAATAAAGAGCTTCCTGTGCAGGCATGAGTTTAGTTCCCACCATCTGGTAAAAAGCCAGGAACATCAGTCCCGGCACTAGGGAGGTAAAGACAGAGGATCTGGAGCCTTACTTGTTAGCCAGTCCAGCTGAATCTGGGAGCTTCAGGTTCAGTGAGATATTCCATCTCGAAAAATAAGGTGGAAAGTAGTGGAGGAAGATGTGGGATTTCAAGATTCTCTTTTCACACATCCTTTCGAGGTGACTTGAAAGAGATACATTCCTTTCTTATTTTTCTAAAATCTGTCTTTGTATCGAATCAGATTAATGAACCAGTGTCCTGCCACCTCATATTAGACTTTCACCGAGCTGTGATTTGGTATTTAATATCAGTTTTGATATATTGCAGTGCCATGGTGCAAGCCACAGCTCCTGTTTAATCAGGTAGTGGTGAGGGGAAACAACATTCCCCTGTCCAGGGTTACTGAGCTAGGATGCTCCCTCTTAAGATGCTAAATGCACTTTTGACATACATTTTTTAAAAATTCTTTTTATTAGTTCAAATTAGGAACAAGCTTGCTTTACATGTCAATCCCTTCTCCCTCTCCCTTCCCTCTCTCCACCCTTGACATACATTTTTAACCTTTATTTGTATGTGTATGAGTGCTTTGCTTGCATGTATGTCCATGTGCCATTTGTATGCCTGGGGCCTGAGGAGGCTGAAGAAGACATTGGCTCCCCTGGAACTGGAATTAACAGGCAATTGTGAGTTGCCATTTGGATGCTGGAAAATGAACCCAGGTTCTCTGGAAGAACAGCCAGTGCTCTTAACAACTGTGCTATGTTTCTAGTCCAGTTGGCTTATGATATTTTCAAACAAATAAATGGGTTTATTGGAACAGAGCAACTATACTTATTTAGAGGGTAGATAAAAGTAAAAAAGTTGAAGATAAGTCGATTAAGTCACTTCCTAGAAGTTTGAAAAGAAGCCAAAAAAAAAATATGACTGAGGGAGCTTAAGTCAGGAGTAATTTTTGTTTTATTTTTAAGCATTTGATTGATGGTCTCTTTGGTGAGGTAAAGTTCACAAAGGAGGAATTAGGTAATGGAGCCAGGACCTGAAAGGAACAGAAAGAAGGGATGGATGGAGAATGAGTAGGCATGTCAATCTTGGATAGGAAGACAGGGGAAGGAGGAAGTGAGAACAGAGAGGGATTTAGCCTTGCCTAAGATGTGTTTATAACACACATCAACCTGAGATCTGAAGTCAGAATGGGCATCTAAAGGAATAGATTAAGCACGATTCCACCCACCATGCTAGAAAATAACCCATTGACATTTTTGTGTTTGTCATTTAGTTTTTATCTATATAAATCACTTTTTATAGCTGGAATTAGAAGTTATATAATTCGTGTGTGTGTGTGTGTGTGTGTGTGTGTGTGTGTGTGTGTTTGTGTGTGTGTGTGTGTGTTCATGTTTGTGTTCTAGTTTGCTTTCTATTGCTATGATAAACACCATAACCAAAAGCAACTCGAGGAGGAAAGACATGTCCTAGCTATAGTCCATCATTGAGGGAAGTTGAGGCTTGTTTTAATGGCTTGTTCCCCTGGTTTGCTCATAGTCTAGCCCCCCTGCCTGGGGACAGTATGACCCACAATGGGCTAGTCCCACTTATATCAATTTAGCAATTAAGAAAATACCTCACAGATACCGGCATAGGCTAGTCCACTATAGACAGTTTCTTAATTGAAGTTCCCTCTTCCCAGGTGACTCCAGTTTGTATTAAATTGACAAAAACTACTCAGCACACTGTGTGTATGCAAACGTGTATACATGTACATGTGCAGGCCAGAGAACAAGCTTGAGAGTTGTCCCCTGAAGTGCCATCCACATTTCTGTTTTTGAGATGTGGTCTCTCACTGGCTAAGTAGGCTAGGTTGTTAGCTGACTAGGGAGCCCAGGGAATCCCCTGTCTCTGCCACCTCAGCTCTAGGATTGCAAACTTGTGCCATCATGCCTATTTTTTTTTTCACCACGGATAATCCAGGTCCTTATGCATGGCAACACTTTGCTGACTGAGCTATCTTCAAAGTCCTCTGGGGTTGTTGGTTCGTTAAAGATTTTATTGAAAACAACTCACAAAATTTGACCTTTCACTAAGACCACCACCACTGTTTGATTTCAGAATACTTTCATCTCCTCAAAGGAAACACTGTTAACTATCAGCACCTGTCTCCCATTCCATCTTCCCTCTAGTTGCTGGCAGCCATTAGCAGCTGACTGTTTTAATGGGATTTGTCTATCTCAGGAAGCTCCTGTACATAGGGTGATATATTCCCATATATGATGTTAATTTGATATGGGTTTTTCAAAGCCCATCTATGCTGTCATATGTGTCAGTACTTCATTCCTTTTCATTGCCAATAAATAGTCTGTAGAGATATAACATTCAAAAAATTGGAAAAAAGAAAAGTTGGAGCAAGATGGGTATGGTGGCTCATGCCTACAATACTAGGAATCTAGAAGGTAAAGCAAGAGGATTATCATGAGTTTGAGGCCAGACTGGGCTACATAGCAGGTTCCAGACCATCTTGGGCTACCCTATCTCAAATAAAATTCCTTTTTTTTTTTTGAGACAGGGTTTCTCTGTGTAGCTTTGGAGCCTGTCCTAGAACATACTCTATAGACCAGGCTGGTCTCAAACTCACAGAGAACCTCCTGCCTCTGACTCCTGGGATTAAAAGCGTGTGCCATGAGGCATATTGATACCTTCTCAGCCATCTTGCTATCTTCCCCAAGTAGTCCCCTTCCCTCCTTTTTCCCATCTTTTTTTTTCTTTTTTTTGTGGTGGTGCTGGAGTTTGAACCCAGGACCTTGTGAATGTTAGGCAAGTCCTCTAGCACTGTATAATTTCCTAGCCCTGTACTACTTATTCTTGAAGAAAATCTTGAATGACTGTATTCCAATATCTTCTCTTTTCCTTTCTTTGTCCTAACTTTCTCCAAACACACCAGTGACAGTGAGCAGTAGGTCTCCTTTTGCAAAGAAATGAGGTGATGAGTGAGAGCAAAACTCCCTTCCACGCCCCTCCTTCTCTTGAGAGGTTTGTATCCTCCTGCTGCTTTACTTTTGCTGGCTTCTCTCCGATGTCTCATGCACTTCAGTGTCTGATCTCTTCCTCGCTATTAGGTTAGCAACAGCCCCCTGTCAGAAGAGGCTGTCCTGGGGTTTGAATATGGAATGAGTATTGAAAGCCCAAAGTTGCTGCCCCTCTGGGAAGCTCAGTTTGGTGATTTCTTCAATGGAGCCCAGATCATCTTTGACACATTCATCTCTGGAGGTTGGTGTTAGGGAGTGGCTAGGTGGTGGTGGGTTCCAGTCTCATATCATAAGTAAACGGAAAAGGGCCATCACTGCCTCTGAGATTCTCGGTACCACCGCATCTCCAGAGAGCTTGGGGAGTTGACTTGTTATCCGCAGGTACATGGCAGCTTTCAGGCTGTGTAATGAGCTTCTAGGAAGAGCATCTTAGCTTTCTGTCAGCATTTCATTGTCCCCCATATCCTGAGGGATGTGTCTAGCTGCAGGGAGCACAGATGTACCCGGCAGCTCCTAGGCTATGTCGTTCTGCACCTGTTCTTACAGTGTTTGCTGAATAGCATAATTAGCCAGCATTCTGTGGTGACACAAGTGACACTTTATGGTTGGGATTGATGGTTCCCTTGCAAATCTGACATTTTTTAGAAGGAAGAAAAATGCTTGAGGAATCTTGAGTTTGACATGTCCAGAAACTATTTGTGTGTGTGTTCATGTGTGTGCAGATGTACATGCACATAGTTAGTTACATATGGAAGTCAGAGGTCAAGCTCAGGTGTTTTTTTTTCAGGAGCTGTCCACCTTGTTTTTTGAGTCTCTCACCAAGACTTGGGGCTCACCAATTAGACTAAGCTGGCTGGCCAGCAAACTTCAGGGATCCATCTCTTTGCTCCCCTAGCACCAGGATTACAAGTGTGCCTGGCTTTTTATGTGAGTGCTGGGTATTGAACTCAGGTCCCCAGACTCACACACCAAGTGTTTTATAAATTGAGCTATCTTACCTGTCCCAAGAGACTATTCTCAAATGTCTACTGCTCTCTATTTGAGGACAGTGACCAATGTTGTCTGTTGTGCTCTGAGCATGGCAGAAGCTGCTTGTATTTGTAAAGAGTTGTTGTATAATGAAATCAGAGTGCCACATGTTGTCTGGGACACTTACCATTGAATTAGTCTTATAGTCACTAAAGCCCAAAGCATGTGATGTGACAGGTTTTTGTACATTCAAATGGGTGTTTCCATTTAAGTATAGAAGATATATGTAATGAAAGCAGTTTGGAGACTCAGGAACCAAATTAGCATTTTGTTTCATTCTCCAAGTCATGTCAGGTTATTTTGTTCTGCTTCATAAAGGAGTCCCTATCTTGTGTTTCCCCAGGAGAGGCCAAGTGGCTTCTGCAGAGTGGCATTGTCATTCTCCTTCCACATGGGTATGATGGGGCTGGACCTGACCACTCATCTTGTCGAATAGAGCGTTTCTTGCAGGTATGTAGAACATCTGACTCTTTTGCCGGTACCTTCCAAACTCATGTGTGGGTACTGACTGCTCAAGAGAAGGTCACTAGAATATTTTTTTTTTTCTCGAGACAGGGTTTCTCTGTGTAACTTTGGAGCCTATACTGGAACACACTCTGGAGGCCAGGGTGGCCGCGAACTCATAGAGGATCTGCCTGCCTCTGCCTCCCGAGTCCTGGGATTAAAGTCTTGCACCACCAATGCCCGGCTTAGAATATGTTTTTTTTTTTTTTTAAATCTTTCCCAGATTTCTTTCAAACAGCCTCGTTTGGAAGTAGCTGTGCTAGAAATGAGTGGATGGAGATAACCCCCTTTCTCTTCTTTGAACACTTTATAGGTCAGGGAAAATGCCTTCTAATACCTTTCTGTTACATAATGGAGAGGAATACCTTTATTAACTGAGAATATATATGCTTCCCTTTAGCCAGTGGGTTGTGTTTGGGACTAATTTAAAGGATCTCAGTGTGCCTGTGTTCTCTTTCCATCGCCCTCCTAGATGTGTGATAGTGCAGAAGAAGGGGTGGACAGTGACACTGTGAATATGTTTGTGGTACACCCAACTACTCCTGCTCAGTATTTCCACTTGCTTAGGCGACAAATGATCCGGAACTTCAGAAAACCTCTCATCATTGCTTCTCCCAAAGTATTACTCAGGTACCCTGTAAGTAGAAAGAGCTTGCTCATAGGCCTTTTCCTTTCCTCAGTTTCTTGTTTTCTATTTTCTCGGTGTTCTGCATTTAACTGTATTTATTTTGTTTAAGTTTTATTTGGTGTGTGTGTGTGTGTGTGTGTGTGTGTGTGTGTGAGTAGTAGTAGTAGTAGTAGTAGTAGTAGTAGTGGTGGTGGTGGTGGTAGTAGTAGCCCTCAGAGGCCAGAAGAAGTGTTGGATTCCCTGGAGCTGGACTCAAAGGATGGTTATGAGCCAGTCAGTGTGGGTGCTGAGACCTAAGCTCAGGTCTCTGGACCAGCAGCAAGTGCTCTTAGCCTCTGAGCTATCTATTGCTCATTATCAAGCAGCTGTTTTGTGGCTTTCTCTATGGTTCCCTTCACCAGTATTCTCAGGAATCTTGAGATGTCACAGGGAATTCAAGAAAAGTTATACAGTCCCTTAGGATTGGTTGCTTTTTTTTTTTTTTTTGGTGTGTGTGTGTGTGTGTTTGTGTGTGTGTGTGTGTGGTATTGTTGTTATTGTTTTATTTTTTCTGGAAGGGCTCTTCTGATACAGATATTTTGAAACAGAAGTCTCAAGCCAAGTCAAACTGTAAATTACAACAATGGTCAGCTGATTTGGGTACAGAAGCAGAGGCAGGCAGATCTCTCTGCATTCAATGCTAGCCTGGTCTACATAGTGAGTTCCAGGCCATCCTGAACTACATAGTGAGATGCTGTCTCAGAAAACAAAACAAAACAAAACAAAACAAAAAAACCAAACCAAACGAAAACTGTCATACAGTACAGACAAAGCACGCTCTTATCATTTAGGTTTGAAGTACACAGAACTGTATCTTGGAGAACACAGTGTTAGTGCACCTGCTTGAGTGAAATTCTATGCCAGAATTCTGGAGCTGTTTTTTATAAGATCTGATCTAAGTTACAGCTATCGGTCTTTTCCATCATTGGCTATTTCTCTCCTGTAGGCAGCTGTGTCAACTCTTCAGGAAATGGCGCCAGGAACAGCATTCAAACCTGTTATTGGTGATTCATCAGTAGATCCAAAAAAGTAATTTGATATTTCTCTGTCTCTTATTCTGGGTAGGGTTTTTAAATAAGTGAACAAAATTTCTTATATCATGCTATAATTTTTCATGTGTATGTATGTGTATGTGTATGCATGTGAGGGACTGAATACACCGCCTTACCATGCTAGGCAAGTATTTTACTTCTGAGGTACATTTCAGCCCCTCTCCTTATAGGCATATGTTAAGGGGAGTATGTGAAAGAGCAAACTCTGGGGACAGATGCTGCAGAAGGGGAATTGCTGGGCTCAGCAGATGACTGAACCCAGCAGCAGAGCCCCAAGCAGCTTTATTGCAACACATTGAAATCTAGTCTCTTTCTTCTGACACAAATCTGAAGGATGTTTCTCTCCACACCATTGTCTACTTTGTCCCCAACAGTGTTAAAACCCTCATATTCTGCTGTGGCAAACACTTTTATGCCCTGCTGAAGCAAAGAGAATCTTTGGGGACCAAGAAGCATGACTTTGCCATCATTCGAATAGAGGAACTCTGTCCTTTCCCACTGGATTCATTACAACAAGAGATGAGCAAATACAAGCACGTTAAAGGTAAAGGCTTGTTTCTGTTTTTCAGATACCTGAAACCTGTTCATACTATTTCAGATGGAAAGAGGTGGGGGCAGTGAAAAGTACTAGAAAATCAAATCTCTTGGAATACAAGGACATGTTTTGAAAAACCACCAGGGCCATGACTCTCTTGGTGTCCCACTCAGTCTTCCCACTATCATCTAAACATAATTTCTTGAGAATTTGTGGGTCATTGGTGCTGTGCCATCGTGTGTGATAATTGCAATATAATTGTAAATGATAAAGTACTTAGGATTGGAAAATTTGATATCTGTATGTACCTAATAGAAATTAAGTGATTACAGACCTAAATGTAACTGTAAAACTATTAGGAGAAAATCTCTGTGAGCTTGGTTAGATGGAAAGTTTTTAGTCATATCATCAAATATTGGGCTTAATCAACATGAAAAGCTTACATTGTAAAAATTATTGTAGGGGCTAGAGAGATGGCTCAGTGCTTAAGAGCACTGGCTGTGCTTCCAAAGGATCTGGCTCAATTCTTAGCACCCACATGGTGGTTAATGACTAGATGTAACTCTAGTTTCAAGGAATCTGACTTCTTTTGGCCTCTGAGCGCACCAGACACACAAGTGGTGCACAGATATACATGCAGGCAAAACACCTATACCCCAAATATATTTAAAATACAAAACAAAACACATACTCCCTAAAACTGAGGATACAAAGCAACTGGAACCCTCACTCACCACTGCTGTGATTGTAAGTGATTGCAACAACTCTGGAAGATGGTTTCTTACTATATAAACCCCAGTTTACCATGTAACCCAGAATTTCCACTGCTGGTTTACCCAGAAAATGAAAACAGGTTCACAGGAAAATCTGCATACAGGTATTTTTAGCAGCTATATTTGTTTTTTTTGTTTTTAGCAGCTTTATTTGTAATTGCCTCAAGCTGGAAACAGTCAAACTGTCCTTCATCTAGGGAATGGATAAACACAGCTCCCCTGTAGCAGAAATGTGTGTAATATCATACTCAATAAAACAGGAAATAGATACTACATATTATGCAGGGCCTCAAGGATGCTAAAAGCAAGCAGGCTAGCACTGAGCCTCAGGAATGAAATGTTGCTATCTATAAGAACTTGGATAAATCACCAATGTATTTCGGTAATTCACGTCAGACTCAAAAGGCTACACACTGTCCAACTCCATTTATATGGCATTTTGGTAAAGGTGAAACTTCACAGTAGACAAAAGACTGATTGTTGCTGACATTTCAGACTCAGAAGCGTACTGACTGCAAGTAATCCGATGAGGAGACTTGGGGTTGAAAGAACTGTTTGCATCATGATTGCTCTGGTGAACACATAACTATGTACTTGCCAGGAAAGAAAAGAAGAGAAAAGAAAAGAAAAGAAAGAAAGGAAGGAAGGAAGGAAGGAAGGAAGGAAGGAAAGAAGGAAGGAAGGAAGGAAGAAAGGAGAGAAGGAAAGAAAGGAAGGAAGAAGATAACATTAGGAGCTAGAGAGATAGCTCAGGAGTTAAGAGCCCTTTCCAGTATCTACATTGGTGGCTTACAACCATCTGTGACTCTAGGATCCAATGTCCTTTTCTGGCCTCCTTGGGTACCGGAGCATATGGCATACATTTATACAGACATGCATACATACATATAATTAGTAAAATATTTTAAGATGCTAACATGTTGGAAAATGATATATTTAATTGAAGTTGCAAATTTATCTATTTATCATCCATTCCTCTACTCCACTTCTTGGTATATAAGTTTATATGAGGTGCTGAAGTATTTTTTTTCTTTTTGTAGATATCATTTGGAGTCAGGAGGAGCCTCAGAACATGGGTCCATGGTTTTTTGTTTCTCCAAGGTTTGAAAAACAATTGGCTTGCAAGGTGAGTGCCCATTATTATATATCCATCCATCCATCCATCCATCCATCCATCCATCCATCCATATTCTCTCTCTCGTGTTTCTCTTAGAGTAACAACATATGGGTTTTTATTACCAGCTTGCTCATTTATTTAAAGTTAAACAAAACCCTCTATTTTCGGCTGGTCATAGTGGCACATTCCTATATTAGGAGGTTGGGGTCAGTTGAGTTTATGAGTTTGAGATCAGCTCAGGCAACATAGTTGCATCCCAATACATAAAGAGGAAGAAGGAATAAGAAGGAAAATCTAGTTTTAGATTATTTCTTTGGGGAAAATGTTGATTTTATGGAGCTGTCTGTGTATTCAGATTACAGAGTTGAGTCTCTTATCCAGAATGATTAGAACCAGAAGTATTTCACATATGTGAGGTTTTCAGATTTTGGAGTATTTATGTACATTTTCTAGGCTGAGAAGCTTTAAAAAAAATTCCAAAATCTGAAATGCCTCAAAACCCAAGACCTTTTAAAGACTGAAATGAGAATTTCTAAATTCCAGAGTTTGGAGAATTTCAGATTTTGGATTAAGGATGCTCAACCTGTAACATTATGTTAAAAATGTGTTTGTATTCCAAAAAAACTATGAACATTGCATGTTGTTACTTTTCTGTTTCCCATCGTGTCTAGTCCAAGTGCCAGAGAAAGATGCTGGCATTTTTCCAGACATGTTATAATGCTGTTAGACTATATGTCTTTATTTTCCTCAGGAATGAAGAAACTAATAGTTCTATTTTTGTTTATCTTTTTATTCTATGTGTATTAGAATATAGTTTTTTTATTTAGTATGAGTTTGCTAGGCTCAAGTCATTTTCACACGAAATACATCTAGTTAAATAAACTACAGTTAAGATCAAAAGATGGAGTTTTTTTCACTTTATCATGCCTGGAATCCAGGGGTACATATTTCCCTCTACTCTGTTCTCTGTAATTCAATATTTCTTATTTGCTTGAACAAACTAATGGAGAATATATATATCTTCTTGGTGGAACTGAGCAGAACTCAAAATGTCATTTGATTTCTTCTTTGCTCCAATGACAGCTCCGTCTTGTAAGCCGGCCCCCTTTGCCAGCACCTGCAGTGGGAATTGGCACAGTGCACCAGCAGCAGCATGAAGACATCCTCACCAAGACCTTCGCTTCATAATGTGCTTTAAGAAAACAGGATTGCCTTTTAAGCAAAGTGCTATAGAGGAAACTCTGCTTCCTCCACCCTATCTCCTTTCCCCTAGCTAGCATGGAAGTCTGTGGAGTGATTGGGACGACTGACTGTGAAATAAGTGGAGAATAAGTGGGGAAATTGATGTTATGAATAATGAAACAAGATAGTAGATTTTATGCTTTGCAGGACAATAGTGTTTGTTACACTTTGATTATATTTGAATGAACTGGAAAAGGAGGTCACCAACCAGAAGTATTCAGACTCCACTGTAACTGACCATAAATGAGCAGGGAAAGTTCTTTGGCCAGAATATGGGGCTGTGTATAGGTAGCCCCAACACTACCATTTAATTAGTTTAATGAACATAACTCCTTAATATCCCCCCTTTTTAAAGTGCTCTGAACAGCAATTATTTTTGTTTTTATGTCATCTCCGAGTCACTCTATGCAATGTTCTACCTGATACCAGTAAAATTAGCCCTCCTGGTTTGTGTCAGGTTTTATCCATTATCTTTTACGTAAATTCTGTTAAATACAAATTTCTGATTGTATGATCTTCTGGCCCTCTACTGAGACAGAGTCTCATGTTGTTCAGGCTGGCCCCAAACCCACTGTATAGCTGAGGATTACCAACCTTGAACTTCTGATCTTTTTGCCTCTACTTCCTGAGTGCTGGGACTCTTCACTTGTGCAACCATGCCTGGTTAATGCTGGTGATGATGATCTAACCTGGGTCTTTGTGAATGGCAGGGAGCATCCTACCAACTGAGCTACAGCCCTTAATAATCTCAATTATGAAGTATTAGCTGTATTAAAACTGAATTGTGGGCCCGGGGCGTTGGTGGCACCCGCCTTTAATCCCAGCACTAGGGAGGCAGAGACAGGCGGATCTCTGTGAGTTCGAGGCCAGCCTGGTCTAAGAGTGAGTGCCAGGATAGGCTCCAAAGCTACACAGAGAAACCCTGTCTTGAAACCCCCCCAAAAAAAAACTGAATTGTGATTTATTTTTACCATTAAGTTCCTCTTCCTCCCATTATATAGCTGTGACATTTTCTAATTTTTCCCCCCCAAGACAGAATTTCTCTGTAGCTTTGGAGCCTGTCCTGGAACTCACTCTGTAGACCAGCCTGGTCTTGAATGCACAGAGATCTGCCTGCCTCTGCTGGGATTAAAGGTGTGCACCACTGCCCGGAGACATTTTCTAACTTTTTAACTAACTTTGGTGTCTGATAGTAGTTGGATTTTAGTATCAGGTTAATCAGTTTTGTCTCTGAAAGTTCCAGGCACAATTATGATATATGTTTGTGCTATAAAGTACGTTAATTTTTAGCTGTCTTCCCAAAGGCAGATACTTGGGGTTCCTTAGAGGTCACCAAGTGAACCACTCCATTTGGACTTAAACCTAAAGTTGGAAGCAAATCTAAACAGTAGCTGTGTGGCCTCATTTGAGTTGGTTCTGAGGAACATCTACCATGTACCATTCTTGCTTTATAATACTGTTTTCCAAAAGGTGATGGGGACACATGAAGGGCTGGAATGCATCTATTCCCTTTCCACTTTTACTGGCAATGGGCCATGTCTTAAATCATTAATGTATAGGCAATTCTAGATTCGTAATAGATTCATAATGTACATCCTTTTGTTGGTTTGTTTTTGGTAGGTTCTCACTATGTAGTTCTAGCTGTCCTGGAACACAGATCTCTCTGCCTCTGCCTTCTGAGGGTTAGGATTAAAGGTGCTAGGATTAAACACTATGTCAGATTATAATTTGCATTTTAAAATAATTCTTTAGTGTTCTTTTTTAACATTTCTTTAATATTTGTTTCCCTTTTCTGTGACTCCCTCCCTCCCTCCCTCCCTCCCTCCCTCTCTCTTCTCTGGATCTAGGTATCTGTTCTAGAACCTTGTACTTATTAGCTCTACCACTAAGACAGGCCTTCAAACCTTTACCTCCCTTTCCTTTTTTGTATTCTTCAGTCCTTCTTTCTTGTGTCAAGCCTTATGAATCATGTAATTTAGTACTACTTATGTAAATCAGTAAATTTCATGTAACAATATATATTTAGGTAGAAAAAAAGCATAACTTATCTTTATCCTCAGATTTCTTGGTTCTTAAAAGACTTTAAAACTCTAATTATAAAGTAAGATGGAAGTTAATATATTTAAAAATATTTTGTCATAGTTGGGCAGTGGTGGTGCTTGCTTTTAATCCCAGCACTGGGAGGCAGAGGCAGGCAGATCTCTGATTCCAAGGCCAGCCTGGTCTACAGAGGGAGTTCCAGGCCTGCACAGAGAAACCCTGTCCTGAAAAACAAAAAAACAAAAAAACAAAAAAAAAAAAAAGGAAAAAATTGTCTTGCTCTTTCTGAATTTCTTCATAACAATGTACCTCACAAGTTTACTATTTTGCGTGATGGTTTTACCTGTATGAGCCATGAAAGTGTGTTCTGTCTCAACCAAATTTTGTTTTGCAGAAGAGACCATCTGAAGAATTTCAAATCAAACATACACTACTGTATTTTATTCCTTTTAAAAATGAGATATTATCCTCTCATATTTGTTATTCATAATTATGCTTGTTTAATGTTCAGTGAGGAATAGAGCTTAAATTATGTAGTTTGTGAGTTTAAATATTAATAACCTTGGGAGAATTCTAGTTTTGCTTGAAATGATACTTTTTTTTCTTAGTAAAATAAAATTTTCTACGCGCTCTAGTTTTCTTATAATATCTTGAAAGTTTTACTACTTTCAAAAATATTTATTTGATTTGTGTGTGTGTGTATGTGTGTGTGTGTGTGTGTGTGTGTGAGAGAGAGAGAGAGAGAGAGAGAGAGAGAGAGGGAGAGAGAGGAAGAGAGAATGAGATCATGTGAATGCAGGTGCCTGCAAAGGCCACAGGTAGTTGTCAGCAGTCAGATGTGAGGACTGGGAACTAAGTTTGAATGCTCCAGTTACATTTTTAAGATTCTTGAAATCGCAATACAAACAGTATTTCTTTTATAAAATGGAAGAAAGGGGGGGAGTTGACCAGGATGGAAGTCACAGATGATGAATCAGTGCTTTTAGTCTTGAAGTTCCAAAAGCTTCCTGTACATTTCTCTTGGATATACTTGGATGTTTAATTTTTAATCTCAGCCTCTCAGAGTTCATTTTACATAAAATAAGCATGTTCCGAGGGAAACTTTAGTATTGTTCACTATCTTCTCTTACTCATATGGATAGCCAGATATATTAAATGAACGTAAGAACATATTTAAGAATAAAAAGTTATTTAATCAAGAAATATTCTGCTGGGTGGTAGTGGTGCTTGCTTTTAATCCCAGCCAGAGGCAGGCAGATCTCGGTGAGTTCAAGGCCAGCCTGGTCTACAAAGTGTGTTCCAGGACAGCTAAGACTGTCACACAGAGAAACCCTATCTCAACAAAACAAAACAAACAAAACAAAAAAAGAAATATTATTAGTTTCTTTTACATATAGCATTGTTTTTATTTTGCCTTAGAAATACACAGAAATAAAGATAAGGCTTTGGTCCTCAACAAATTAGCAGTCTGTGGATAAAAAAAAGTTGGTTTTTTTTTTTCCCTTTTAAGACAGTGTTTCCCTGTGTAACCCTTGGTGCCATGGAACTGGATATGTGGCTCAGGCTGGTCTGATCTGCCTCTGCCTCCTGTGTGCTGGAATTAAAGTGTGTGCCACTAGGTCTAGCAAGAGGGGCTGTAGATATAATTTTCCTGTCCTGATATCCCAACCCCAAATAACCACCCAGAGTCTTAATATTAATTGTAACTGCTCAGCCAATAGCTCAGGCTTTATTACTAGCTAGCTCTTACAACTTAAATTAACCCATATTTCTTATCTAAGTTCTACCATGTGGCTCATGGCTTATTACCTCATTTCATACATGTCCTGCTTTCTTAGCTGGCTGACTCTTCTTCCCTGAGTCCTCAATATCTGGATGTCTGGCCTATACTTCCTGTCCAGCTATCAGCCAGTCATCTTTTTATTAAACCAATCCAATCGGCAGATCTTCACAGTGTATAAAAGGATTATTCCACAGCAAGGGACTTAAATTTTTTTTTGTTATTTTATGTGAATGTGTGTTTTTCATGTACATATGTGTATTGTGTGTATGGTTGGTGACTGCAAAGGTCAGAAGACAGCATCGCATCCTTTGGGCCTGAAGTTATGGATGGCTGTAAGCTACCATGTGGGTCCTAGGAACTTTTCTACTGCTGTGATAAAGCACCAAAGGCAAAAGCAACTTGAGGGGAAAGGGGTTTATTTTAGTAAAGAGTTCCACATCGCAGGCCGTCATTGAAGGAAGTCAGAAAACAACCTGGAGGAACATGGAGGCAGCAAATGAAGTAGAAGTTCTGGAGGAATGTTTCTAATTCCCAGTTTCCCTTCCCCTTCCCTCAGTCTGCCCTCTATTTCCCCTCTCCCCCAGATCCACCTTCTTTCCAGTCTCATCTCAAAAAAGAATAGACCTCCCAGGGACATCCACCAAAGATGACAAAATATGTTACTGTAAGACTAGGCACATACTACTATCAAATCAAGGCTGGATGAGGCAGCCCAGCATGAGGAAAAGGGTCCTATAAGTAGGCAAAGGAGTAAGTGATCTCCCCCTACCCTGCTCTCATTGATTCTGTGGGCGGTGTTCTCTTGGTGTCCCTGACCTCTCTGGTTCCTCCAATCCTTTCTCCCGAGCTCTGCCAAATGTTCAGCTTTGGGACTCTGCTTCTGCTCCCAATCAGTTGCTGGTTGAAGCCTCTCTGGTCTCTTTGAGGAGGAATGTTTCTTAATGACTTTGTTCTCCTGGCTTTTTCAGCCTGCTATCTTATAGTATTCAGGACCACGGTGGTACTGCCCTCTGTTAGCTGGGACCTGCCACATCAATCATCAATATAGAAAATGCTCCACAGGCATGCCTTCAGGCTAATCTTATAGATGCATTTTCTTACTTAACAGTCATTATCAAATGAC